CCGCGCGGGCCGAGCGCCTCCGCCGAGACGTGCGAGGACGCCCGCGGCCCGGGGCCCGCCGCGCTGCACCCCGACGAGGTCGCCGCGCGGCTGCAGCGGATGCGCCGCGAGCTGAGCAACCGCAGGAAGATCCTGGTGAAGAACCTGCCCCAGGACAGCAGCTGCCAGGTACCGGGACGGGGCCGCGGGGCTCCTGCCCGGCGGGTGCCCAACGCGGGGGTGGGGGGGAGCTCCGGGAACCGGCCGTCGCTCCTGCAACGCCCCCCCCCCCGGTTTCTGAGCCTGAGGTCGCTCTGCGCGTGCGGCAGGTTGGGAAACTGAGGCTCCGAGAGGCGAGGCGGCTGGTCCAAGGTCACGGGCACCGGGCGCTGCCTCCAGGTCCGGCCCGCTCTCCTTCCCCGATGGCCCCCTGGGTGTGTCTGTGGGGCGAGGGATCGGGGAGGAGTAGGGGGGGAAGAAGGAGTTGAAGGGGAGTGGAGGTGACCTGTGGAGCACAGATTTGGGGGGCCAGGTTTTCGGCAGCACCCTGAGAGGGGCGGAGGGTCCCGCCTGGCGTTCCCCGGACTTGGGTGTGCCGTGGGGGGCGGGGTCACGGGCGAGCTGGGAGTGCGTTTTCCTGTTGCGGAGGCACTTGCCCAAGTTTGTATGAAACAACTCTGTCCCCTCGGCTTGCTAAGGCCCTGGAACAGAGAGGTGGTCACTGCGCTTTGGGGAGCCTGGCAGCCGCCTTCTGCCGTGCCAAGTACTGGAGGAGTTATTCCTCAGGGACTCGGAGGAAGCTTAAAGATAGAAGACTTGGTGCCTGTGATTCAGATTAACTGATGCTTTAAGATTAGAAACTCTACATATACCCCGGGGTGCCAAAAAAATGTATACAAGTGGACACAAGTTGGTCAGTGTTGCTCAAGCAGTAGTTCGCTGTAATCAGAAGAGTCTGGACGCTGATGGTAACCACTTTGAGCACCTCTTGTAATTGCAAAAGTGAAACGTGGCTTACATTCATCTTTTATGATCGCTATATATTGAATATTACAGTTTTAATACAGTTTTCCTTTCTTAAAATGTGTCTACATTTTTTTGGCACCCTCTGTATTTAAGTGTTTTTCTCCCCTTATTGCCAAAGTTACATGCTCATTTGTAGGAAAGCAAGAAAATACAGAGAAGCACAGAGCGGTAAAGTAGGTGTCACCCATATTTCTGATACTTAAAGATAACCATTGTTAACATGGGATATTATCCTTCTCTTTTTCTATGTGTATGTATATGTATGCATTTTTGTTTTACCAAAAAAATTGAGATTATTTCTTTGATTCTTCATGGTTCCTTAATTGTCTAGATACGCACATATATTTCACATATAACTTGAATTTATATATTTTGTGTGGATAGGGAGGGTAGGCTGTCCTGGTAGTTGCAGCTTTGGGCCAATTCGTGTAGTTTCTCCTGTATGGGGATGCACAGAATTGCAGGTGGGCTAGCTATTGATAATTGCAGGGCAGTTCTAATGTAAGATCCAGAAAATAATGAGATGAATGCCTCATTACTATGTAATTAGACCATATATAGCCACTTAAAATTACTGTGAGCATATAACCTTATAACCCATATGCATGAGGGGCCATTTTGTTTCAAAAAGCAATATAAAACGTCTCTGTCAGTATAGTATAGCTCACCCTTCTTTCAATTCTGTCATTGTCCACTTTCCATCAGGCAGGTAATGTTTTGTGATGTTAACGTTTAAGGACACCTGCGGTGGACTGATTTCATAGAAGCAACTTTCCCCTGCCCATGCAAATAGAGGAGAGCAAGGAAGCTCAGAAAGAGGGAGGCTTGGAAGAGGCAGATGACATTGTTTTAAAAAAAGCAAATTGAAGAAATAGCAGCTGTGTGTGTAGATAATTTAGGAGAGGAGACATGGAGAAGTGTCTTGATTCCTTTGTAGAATGTCTACTATTTTTTATCACACTTCATTGCATTAATTCTGAAAATATTTAAACCCAAAATTCTCTGTCTAGCCATGCTTTGCTGCAGTATCTTGCTCAGTTCCTTTCTCAAGAGACATGGAAAAAATATATCAAAGGGTCTAATAAAAGGAACAGTTTTAATTACCCGGTATTCATGATGGAGAGAGGTTTTATGAGAATTACACTGATTTGTATTTTTGAGATAAGCTTTCCCTTAGGAATTTATGTGTAGCTTAAACCTTAGGATTCTCTCTAAGGTAGAAAGCATAAGCTGTGGAATAAACTTTGTGTAAGGTCCATATGTCTAGATGAGTCTTTTACAATAAAGTACCTTAAATTTTTATATTAAGTTAAATTCTTATGCCATGCATTTTGAGAGCTGGAGTCTCATCTAAAACCAAAAAAAAAAAAGTTGTTAGGACCTAGAGACTAGTTTTCAGACTTCTCCTAACATTTTTTTCTATAGTGATTTCTATAATAAAATGTTTTCAATATTTCTGATGTGTAGTTTTAAAGTCTAAACAGATTGATATTTTATTACATATAACAAAGTTTTAAGAAGTGTTTATTTTCTCCATCATCTTCCGTACTTGTACCTTTCCTAGTTTTCTGATCACAATCATATTAAAACTATCAGTGGTCCGTGTTAAATAAATGAGTAGAATAGACCAAAGTATGCTAGTTTCTAAAAGCAATCAGAATAGAGCCTTTTCTTTAGATTATTTAGATTGAGAATTGCTACTTTTATTGGTGCAACAAAGTTAATATCAACTTTTTCTTAAATTGTAATATTTTCATGAATATATTCTGCAAGGATTTTGGTATTTTATCTTCTAACAATTCTAATGTCTCTCTTTTTTTAGTGCTGCATTTTACTGTCAACTTACTAATGAAGGTTTAACTTTTATTTTGTGCCTTTTAGCCAGAATCACCTGGCTAAGCTACATTTTTACTCATTATGAAATGACTAACATGGTTTAAAAAAAAGTTACTACTTTTTGTTCAGTTATTAAGTAATCAGATATTTTAAATACTCAAATTCTTGTTCTTTTCTAGAAGTCTATTTATTCATTTATTTTAGAATATTGCATTAAGGATCAAAGCCGGTCCTAATTTTGGTTCTCAAACTATATAGTTATATCTCTAGAAAAGCAACATTGGTAACTGATTAGTAGGAGCTCAATAATTTTTTTTAACATTTTGAAAACATGGGTATTTTCTTTATTAAACATGGTTTTTGTAAATCTTACTCAAATTTTGTTTAATCTTTGATATAACAGATTTACAACAGCATCTCACCACTTCCTTTAAATGGGAACTTTTAAAGTTACATGTATTAAATACCTGATAGAAATACTAGTCCCCCAAAAATGAACACCTTGGTACTATTGAGTTTAGAAGCTGTCTCATTGAATAAGTGCTGTGCGATCAGTCAGGTGCTGTCTGGTCAGTCTCCAGTGCGGTCTTGAATCCTCCTAACCTCTGTGTTTTCATCGCCTCAACTCTGGTTTATATCCTTTTCATCTCTTAGACTGCATACTACAAATTTTCTGTTTGTCACCTACCCTCATGATTGTCCTGCCGCTTCTGTTTTAGCCCATCCCTGCTTACTGCCTCCTCTGAGAGAGCTTCCCAAAGTACAAATCTGATGTCACGCTCCGACTTCAAAAAAACAAACCAAAAAAAAATTTGACTCCACTTTCCCAGCACTGCTTCTCAAACTTTTCCTCAAATTGGTCATCAGTGTGCCTCTTTTCCTCAAATTGTAAGGAATAGGAACCTGAATTAGCTTTCTGCAAGAGTGAAATTATTCTGAAGCTTCATGTTCTGAAAAATTCACATTAATTTTATATTCTAGTAAAGTTGCATTTAATATAAAAACAGTGACTTAAACTTGTTTAACTCCCATCCAGAATTTTTGTTTTCCATGAACTTGACACTTAGGGAAGCTGTATCATATTTATCCTATGATTTTTTATTTATTTTTTATGCACCTATATTACCATGAAGTACTCAAACCTCAGTTTGAAAAGCAATACATGATAGGATAGGGATCTAGGACTCTGGGCATTTTGTGACTTGGCCCCTACCGACATGCTTAGCTCATTTCTTATTAGTCCTGCATTGGATTCTACTGTAGTTTTATCAAGATATGTAGATCCCCAAGTCCTTCCTACCACTGTGATTTGGATATTTATAGTTATATAATATCTTGAATGTTAGTGTTTTGGAATGTTATTATAGTGATTAATTTATTGTGAATAATATTTATAATTACTATAATTTTTTATAGTGAGTAATAACAATGTTGCAAACACTGGTTCTTATTCAGAATGGCCATTGTGTATGTGTCTGAATAGTCTTTTGTAACTCTGAATTTAGAAATTTGGTTAGTTAAGGTAATGCCCTAATAGTTGTTTTTTGTTGCATTTCCATAAATTGTTTACTTTTTATGGTTAATCTTGCTCTGTTTCAATAGCATTGCCTTTGGGGTTTCGAAATATAGACAACAGTGGCATTTATTTCCTATATCTCTTGAGTTCACTCAGTTTTTTTCTTACATGTATGTGTGTACATGTGTTTTGTTTTTATTGTGTTTATTTTAAAGCCTGATGCAGATTTTATTGTGTAATTAGAAAAAAATGTGAAGTGCATAGGGCTAACAGCCAAGATCAGTAATAGAAGAAACATTCTTTTGTCTCATTTTATGCATTATTAACTTTCATTTCAAAGTACTCTATTATTGTAGTTAATTGAGAAGCTTGATAGTTAATTCACAGAGGCCCATTTGAAAGCATAGTATTATCAGCCAAGCACTTTTTAGAATAACAAATTATCCAATGTACAAAACTCTGGTTGATTTTCTTTTAAAAAGCTATGTATTCCCATTTTGCTTTTCCATTAGTCAAAAACCAGTAGAATTTTCTCACATGCTTTGTGTTCTTTAATGGTATGATTTAAAAATACACATTACTTATTTTCTCTAACAATATAGTACTCAGTAATTATTGCCTCTTTGTAAAGTAAGTCTATTATTTACCACTTTCCCTGACAACCCTGGGATGTTTTCACATTTTTAAATTATTCTTCTTCTTCATCGAGAATGCCATTTTGCTCACCTCCAAAAGTTACTTCTCTTAGTACAGTTTATACCACTTAAAAGTTATCTATACATTTTCTTATCTAAGGTAGTTAATCAGAATT